TGCTGCTAATTTGGGTCAAGGCTATGTGTGAACAATATTCTAGAGTAAGTGCCCTAACTTGAAAAACTTTACTTTTTAACAGGTTAAATCATTTACTGCATAGAGATAGTCTATGCCATTATGTATCACAGTCCAAGATTTTCTCCATGACACATCTACATGTCTCCTGAAGTCTATCATTTCCTATAAACATCACAACAAAGCATCGCCTCTTTATCTTCATCTCTCCCTCTACTCCTCTTCCGCTACAGCCTTCCTACATCTCTAAAAAATGTCTGCACCTCCTGCCACAGTTTCGTGGTGCGTGGGGAAATGGCTGCCCTATGTCCCTATGTTAAAATTAACGTTGTTTCTCTCCATAGGGGGTCAAGTGATGGTTTAGTTCTTTTTAGCAGAGACACATGAGCTGTGTAATATCTCTTCTTCCCCCACACACCCTTTCTCCACACTGACTCTTTCTAGCTTTAAAGATGAACCCCACATAGTCTCAGACCCGGTTATCACACACACGGTTGTTCAGCTAAATAAATGTTTAGCATTATGGATTAATTGATAAGTGACCCTCTTAAAAGGAAAATTTCTGCTTTTTTTCTCTCTCCTCTGAACGTTACATGCCACAGCAAACAACCTTATATATAAATATACACATTCACACATACACTTACTGTAGGCTATATGGCAGAAGATTAAAATACGATGCATATCCTCCATGCTCGGAGAAGAGGAGATGCATTATTCAGTGGAACTAGCTACCACACAGTCTTACTACAGAGTAATTAGTGGCATGACTGTCGGGCACAAAGAAAAAAAGTCTTGAAAGAGCTGCAAAGGTTGAAAAAGCTGGCTAAGTGTATTACTTGTTATTAGTAACACATAAGCTGCCAAGTAAGTCTTCCAACTTAAACTGTAAGAATTATTTATAGCACAAATTTTCCCCAGTAGCAGTAACTGCAAATGATTAATTCATACAAAAATCTAAGATAATTATGAATTATTGCAAATTAAACTCCAAGCACTGAAAATAAATGTAAATCTTAAAAAGAGACAGCTTTAAAAGGGATTACTTTTCCCAAAGAAGCCAGCAAGGTAGTGCATTTCTCAGCCTGGATGGTGAGAACCAGAAGTGTTTTTTTCTAAATTTCAGCATTTAAGGAACCTGTAGGCAAACCAGCAAGATGTCACTTCTCGCTGGTGCTTGTACCGACATCGTGCTGCTTCCCATGACAGCATCCAGGACATCTTGCCACACAGGAATTTTCAGCTGAGGTCAGAATTTTGACTGCTAATAAGTACTACCCTCCAACATCATTCCCAGGTGGGTGATCATTTGCAGTAGCATTGCCTGCGTGTCTATGGGTATTTTATTTGGCTGCCTAGCTCACTTGGCTACACAGGCTGCGTGGCACCGCAGCGGTGATTCAGGGGGGTCTACCAGTCAGTCTGCCAAAGCCTGAGAGTCAGATACCACATCAAAACTTTTTTTTTCATCACCAGCTTTGTGGTGGTCTGTACCTTTAAGCCTATGCCCTAATGGCTTCACAGAATCACAGAATGGCAAAGGTTGGAAGGGACCTCGGGAGATCATCTAGTCCAACCCCCCTGCTAAAGCAGGCTCACGCAGAGCAGGTTGCACAGGACATCGTCCAGGCAGGCTTTGAATATCTCCAGAGAAGGAGACTCCACAACCTCCCTGGGCAGCCTGTTCCAGTGCTCTGTCACCCTTAGAGTAAAGAAGTTTTTCCTCATATTCAACTGAAACCTCTTATGTTTCAGTTTGTACCCATTGCCCCTTGTCCTGCTCCTGGGCACCACTGAGAAGAGCCTGGCTCCATCCTCGTGACACCCACCCTTAAGATATTTGTATGTGTTGATGAGATCCCCTCTCATTCTTCTCTTCTTCAGGCTAAACAACGCCAACTCTCTCAGCCTTTCCTCATAGGGGAGATGCTCCAGTCCCTTCATCATCTTTGTTGCCCTCCTCTGGACTGTCTGTAGGAGTTCCTCATCTTTCTTGAACCGGGGAGCCCAGAACTGGACACAGTACTCCAGGTGGGGTCTCACCAGGGCAGAGTAGAGGGGGAGGATAACCTCCCTTGCCCTGCTGGCCACACTCCTCTTAATGCGCCCCAGGATGCCATTGGCCTTCTTGGCAGCAAGGGGTGTTTCACTCAGAGAGGAGTATTGATAAGTCCTCAAACTTTTCACTCCTAAACAAATATATGCTTTTGGAATTCCTTTCAGAGTTTATGATTAATAAAATGGTAACTTTATTAAATCTGGGTATGATAAGCATGTGTATACTTTAAAGGGTAATTAAAGCAAATAAAAGGTAGAGCCTTAACAGAAGAGGTGGAGCTGACTAGCATTTTTCAAAGCAGGAAATTTTGCTCAGCTGTTCTGTTGAAAGCTCAAATAACAACTGGAAAAAATCCCACGTCTTTTCTTCCCTCCTTTTTGACCAATCTTAATTAACAGTAAAAAGTTCAATAGGAAAACCAAATTATTAACAGCTTCACAAAAGTAATTGCTGTTTTGGCTGTGGTCCTATTCCTTTTCTGCTTGTTCTTCAGTAGACACAAAGATCACTGATCAAAGATAAATATTAGTGAAGGAATCATTATTTGCCTGAATACAGTTTATACCTGCAGAGCAGCAAATGTAGCAGATTCCAGACCCGCTCACTTCCTAGATGAGTAAAGCAATAGTATCTGCGCACGGGTAGGCGTCTTTACGTGCAAATAAATGTAGTCAAATGCTCTCATGCTTATCCGTGCTAATAGGGCAGGCATGATTTTGCACATATATTTTAGCATTATTTATCAAATAATCAATTGGCTGAAGGCAAGAGAAACTAGGCGAGTAGAAAAGGGGAGTGATGTAAAGGCCAGCAAAGCAAAGTGGCCAGATGTTGTCCGAGTGGGTGTTGGCACCACAGTGATAGATGGATGAAGAGAAGGAAGGACGGGGAGGGGAGGCAGGGGGAAGGGGAGGTTCACCTTGGCATGTAGATGACAGAGGGAGGGCAGTGAGTTGTTTCTGCGGTCATGTCCCTCATCAGAAATGGCTGGAAAAGCATCTTATTTCTCTCAACATCTGCTTGCTGGCAGGTGACCCGAACAGCAGAACAGCTGTCAGTTAACTCCCCTGTGAACTGCAGGGAACACAAAATACCCAAACCCATGTTTTCCTGGTAGAATATTGCTATTGACATTTCACTGACACGCATCCCATATTAATGCTACTTCTGCTGGTAACCAGAGCCAGCGTTCGCCTTCTCCTCCTGCACTCCACACAAGTTCTCAACAAGACGATGCAATTTGCTGTCTCAGTGCCTTCAGGATTCGCCACTTGGAAGATGAAACGTTTCTGCCCAGTCCAGGCCAGTAGATCACACTCTATTTCCTGCAAGTACAGAAGCAGAAGCTCCATTTTGGAAATTCATCTTCAAACATGAATGTGCCCAAATCCTGAATTTGCTGGTTAAAAAGGCTTGGAAAAGGCAAACCATTTATAAGCCACCATTCAAGAATCAATAGCTTATTAATAGCCTTGGGTGATATCCACCATGTACCAGCATAACAGGTCCCATATAAAAATGATACATGGTGGACATGTCAAATAAAATCAAAGCTACCTGCACACAAGCAAAAGAGAGATGTGCTATCAGCTGATCCTCTCCCACTTTTCATTATTTTTAGAAAAAACTGTGCATAGCCAATAACACACTGCACTGGAAATTTAGTCCTGGTCCCAAGGCCTGTTAAACTTCATCCAGAGATGGATTAGGACCTCAGAGAGCGATTTAGACCATAAGAATTTATCTTCTACCGTTTCTCACATTGGCAAAACTCTACAGCGCAAATGTCTTTTGTTATTCCTGAAACTGGGGGTTTACAGGGTGGGAGAACTGCTGCCACAGACGCACCAGCATAAGTCTGAGCCCCGCTTCCTAAGAAACCTGCATTAGTAATGAAATCCACTCAAAACGGACACCGCTAAACTGGCTAACCTGTGCAGCAGGCGGTGTAGTTAAAGAAAGAAATGATCTGCATAGTGATGATGTCATCGGCTTCAGTCTGACGTTTGGTCCTGCGATCATTAAACTCATTACCAGACTTCCCTCACACTCAGTGGGCTTTACCAGAAGTGAAGCTCAGCGAAGCCAGTGAAGCCAAGAACAGCTGACAGGGTTCAGTACTGGGTGACTAAGAGACAGCAGCGTGTTGTGGGATGTGATAGACAATGTTTAAAACAAAACGCAAATCCTTGTTAAAACGTGTTTCTTGGTCAGTTCGATGCATTCAGCGCAGTTTCTAGCGTTGAGAAGAAAAGAAATTCATGATGATGACCCGGTGCCACAGGCTGGGCACAGCACTTGGAATTCCATGCGGAGCACACAAGAAAAATGAGCAATTTAAAGGCCAAATGGCGCAAATTCCTCATTTTAGGAACAGGCTGGGTCAGCGGCCCCGTTTCGGTCTGGCTCGCCCAGCGGGCACGCTGCTGGCCCGTGGCAAGTAAAACCGAAGCTACCTGCACGTAAGCAAGCGAGAGATGTGCCATCAGCTTATCCTCTCCCACTTTTCGTTGTTTTTAGCAAAATCTGCGTACAGCCAATAACGCACCGCGCCGAAGGAGCCGCCGCCC